GGGCTAAATACCAGAATGGATGTAGACGGGCATAGTTAAAAATTCAGCAAGTCTTTTATCATATCATCATCATCATCTTGTTGAACTTTTTGTTCCTTGCCATGATTTTGAAATGACCTAGCCCTGTGCCCTCAACAAAACCACAGTGCCCTGGAAAAGAAATCAGAATTGACCTTCTGAACGTGAAGAATATTTGGGAGGGGTGGGGAGGAGTAGTTAATACCTTTTATTATCACAGATGAAATAAATGTACATTGTAGACATTCAGAAAATACAGCTAAGCAAAAATAAGAAAGTCTTATGTTCCCAGCACGAAGAGATTATTACTTGAGTGTTTATTCTTTGGATCTTTTTCTATGTGCTGATATGCAGTATGTACTTTTAACCAAAATAAGTGAGCAAAAAAAAAAAATTGCTGTTCGTAAGTTAGTGATCTTGATTTTCCGTGCCAGCAAGTGTTCATCTAATACCCTGTCCACGTTCCAAATTTCCCACTTGACCCCAAAATACTCCGTGCAGTTGGTCTGGGCAACCTAGGCTCTGAGGCCGAGCCGTGCATTTTATGTGGCTGCGATGTACTTTGAATGTGTCTTTACCAGCACTGGCCCTTTTTTCGTGATCCTGACTTGTTAAAGGGACCGCCGTGCCAATTGTTCTGCAGACTGGAGGAGTTTATTACCATCTAAACATAGAACTGATTTGAGAAGAAAAAAAAAATTATATCAAGCTGAATTCAACCAAGTAGCTCTTTTAGACATAATTAGTAACTCAGCATAATTCAACCAGAGCTTTTTAAAGCTGTTCTGTGTGCGTAAGGAGAATTTCTAAAGCTAGTTAAAAAAAAACAACAACAACAACAAACAAAGATAACAACCAACAAGAAATCCAGAGGCCAGGGTGGAAGTTGGCCGTGTGAGGAGCCACAGGGATTTTATTTCCTGTATTAAGGCACGATGTCTGAGCTGGGTGGGTAAATCTGAAGTCCTGGGCTAGTATTTCTTTTTCTTTTTCTTTTTTTTTTTAATAGACTTTATTCTTTTAGAGCAGTTTTGGGTTCACAACAGAATTGGGCAGAAAATACAGAGAGTTTGCACATAGCCCTCCCCACCCACACATACATACTCCCCTACCCTCAGCATCCCTCGTCAGTGTGGCATATTTGGTACAATCGATGAACCAACATGGGCACATTATTATCAACTAAAGTCCATAGTTGACATTAGGGTTCACTCTTGATGTTGTACATTCTCTGGGTTTTGACAAATGCATAGTGACATGTAGCCACCACTATAGTATCATACAGAATAATTTCATTGCCCTAAAAATCCCTTGGGCTCCATCTATTCATTCCTCTCTCCCTCCCTCTCCCCAAACCCCTGCAAACCACGGTCTTTTAATTGTTTCTGTAGCTGGTCTAGTATGTCTTGTCTCACTGTAACTGCTTTGGGAACTTCCTGGACTAGGAAATTGGACCCTGCCCACCCCACCCCACCCTACCTTCCCCTCCCTTAGATCATTAGGAAGGTTTCTTGGTTGATTCTGCTAGGATTTTCCCTGCGGTCATCAATCTGAAATTAAGCCCTTTAAGTCAGTCTAATGCTGCGCTTTCAGTACTTTTCAGATCAAACTTTAATTGAACTATGGCCTCGTCCCTGTCATCCTCCACCAGGAGGCAAAAAGAACGTGTTCTCCAGGCTGCTAGGCTAGCCTTCAGAACCTGTGTGATTTTATATATATAAAGGAAAACAAATACAGGAAATATATACAGGAAAGCAAATCTGAAATGTACCAGGAGAGGCTGTTAGCAAAGGAGAGACAATTGATTTTTTTTTCCACCTTATTTTGAATCCCAAAGCAAATTCTGACAATTAAGCCATGACCTGGGCCATCCGTTAGGACTGTAGAGGGGTCCTTCCCCAAGGAGGATATGGGAACTGGACACAGAGTCAGAGGGAGATGAGATATGGAAGACCTGTCCTCACCTTGATTTATAACATGAGAAGGAATATGTACACCCAGATACCACACACACACACACACACACACACACACACGCAGGCACATATGATTAGGGCTTGGGTTCTTGGATGTGAACCTTGGACTCGGGACCTTTCCAGTGCCCCTTAAAAACCCAGTGTCTTCATGACTTCCCTGGTTCCCCATCATCCACGTCTGCTTTGAGCAGATTTGCTCTTTCCTTCCCTATTAACGTGAAGAAGACTTAGTACTGCCTTTGTTGGGATATTTGAAATTTTAACAAAATATTAAGCCGGAAGAGCAAGGCGTGAATAATAGAAGGTTCTGATTGTTGACATGGCAGAAAGCAAGCTCTAATCGGATGGGAGGGGATGGAAAGTCGTGTGTTTGAGGCTTCTGATGCCCCACTGCAATGAACCTCATATTCACATGTGGCTCCTGTCTTGCCCCGTGGCCGTCACAATAAGTAAGTGGTAACAACTGATTGGTTTGCTTTTGGAGCCTTAGAAACACAGTTCTTGTCCACATGGACACGGGAAGGCTTCTTTCTGTCCATGCCTGGGTGATTTGAGGTTACGGCCATTGTACACGCAGAAGAGATAAGGGGACATTAATAGATTTGGATTATTTGAACTAATTGTATCAGATGGGTTATTACCAGCCAGAAGGAAGGGTTTTTTTTTTTTTCTTAGCATCATGCTTACAGATTTCTGTCTCAGGGAACATGTCTTCAAGCAGTCCTTTCTAATGTAGCTGCTGCTTCTAAAGCCATTCATGGAAATAGGTCTCATCTCCTTTCAGGCGAACCTTGCATAAAACCAGTCTTGAATTTTCTCTGGAGCTTGTGTGCGACGAAGAGTTCTGCTAAGAGTCTCTATCAGAACAGCTTTCTGTGTTCCAGGAGACATTTGGTGAACGCAGTTAATTTGTTTTCTTTCCCAGCCGAGAATGTTCCAATAATCATTCTAAGAAGCCAGGCTGATTGCTCTGTTACATTAAGGTCACAGTATCCTTATTGACACGACCCGCCCAGTACTTTTGTGTCTTAGAAAAGATTTGTTATTTTCTTGTGGCAGACTTACAGCACGGGGGGCAGTAAGTGACAGACATGTATACGTGCATGCGTGTACACACACACACACACACACAGTAGCCATGGCACATTTTGTGGAACAAATATTATCACACTGTGTTGCAAGGTACGAGATGTACTAAATCGTCAAATACTTCCCATTAATTAACCGAATAATGGTTTTTCTCCTTGCCAGGCCCTGTAGAGGCTACTATCAAAAAATTTCACTGTCCATACCTAAAGTCATAATCATCTGGCCCAAAACTTTTTTAATGAATGCATTTAAAATATCATCTAGGTTCTTATTCAGAATGTGGTCCCAGGACCCTCGGGCATCAGCCTCCCCTGGGAGTTGATAAGAGGTACAGAATCTCAGCCCTGACCCCGGCCGAAATGAATCTGAGTCTACATTTTAACAAGATCCTCTGTTGATTCAAAGGCACATTAAAGTTTGAGAAGCACTGGATAAGATCAGTGGCTTTCTCATTTGCCCAAGATTCACAGTAAGAAGCAAAGTTTGCATTGCAACTCAGTACATACATAGGTGTACACACACACGCACACACACGCACGCACCCAAAACAAAAGTTTACGGAACAATATTTACACTCTGTGTGTTGCAACCTTATGTCTTCTGTTCCATCTCTCACGGATCTTGGTGGTAACCAGGGAAATGACTTTATCACCCACTGTAGCATGTGTAGGTTGTAATAGAGGGGTGGGCAAGATCACTCCTGTTTGAGATGCACTGATCTGGATGAACCAGAAGAGAGGTTAATGCTCCAGATACACAAGGGAGCTCTACTCCTTTGCACGTCGCATGTCCCTCTGCCGCCGCCACCACACGCACCTGAGTATGCGCAGCAACAATAACAAAGTGTCCACTTGTCAACCCAGGAGTTAGCTTGGCGCTGTGCCCGTCTTGGGAGTAGATTATGTCTGGGGGCTTCATGTCGTGACAGGGCCAGCTTGTGAGACATCCGAGACTCTTTCTGCCTCACTGTCCCTCCCCAGTGCAGTCCCCCTCCTGCAGAGGGGCTGGAGTAGTGTGTTAGATCAGCCGAGCGGATTCGTGCACTTTGGCTTCCCTTGATTGCTTTGCTTTGCTTTGCTTTGCTTTTTTTTTTTAATCGAAGTGTAGTCAGTTTACAACCCTGCATCCATTTCTGGTGCACAGCATAATGTTTCAGTCATGCATATACATCCCTATATTCGTTTTCCTATTCTTCTTCATTATAGATTACTAAAAGATATTGAATGTAGCTCCCTGGGTATTTTCTTTTCTATTTTTTTTTTATTATTCTTTGCTTTTTCTAATTCTACCCGGACCTTGGTTAAAAAAAAAAAATTTGCTTCTACCAGGTGGCTACAAGTTATTTTTGAGTGTCCAAAAACCTGAAAAGAAGGCTCAACATGAATACTTCATTCATTCCCAATTCCCAATTCAGAAGAGAACAGTTAACAGCCTCCTGTTCTGTTAAACTCCTGCCGAGTTAACGAAAAATCCAGTTAATGGAGTCTAGCGACTCGCTACCAGTTCAAATATCCCCGTGTCAGAAGGCTTATAGCTGAGAGTGTAACTTCCTACATTGGATTGCCCCTCGCCTGCCTTTGGCAAAATTTTCACTCTGACCATCCCTGGACTAATGCCCGTTGTCCCAGCAAACCTCCAGGTCTTGCCCAGGATGGGATTTTTATTAATTACCAGATCTCCATGCCAACCAGGATAGAAAAGCCCCTCTCATTTTTTGGGTAAGGAAATTTTTTTTTTAAAAGAACAAATGCTTTGTAGAGTAAGCAAAGTTAAATTCATGAGTTTTCATGTGAAATTCTGTCCATGTTTGCTTTCCTCTTGCCTTTTCTTTAAATTTTAAGAAGTTTCTATACAACTGTTAAAGGCTGTACTCCATTCACAGTTATTACAGAATACTGGTTATATTCACCGTGTTGCCTCATACATCCTTGAGCTTCTTACAACCCCTTTTAAGGAAGAGAACCATCACTTTTTTTTGTTCAGAAAATGCATTATTTGGCCTAGGAAACCATCCTGTTAAAGAGAAAAGACGCAGCTATTAGGTTCCTTGCTTGTCTGGGAGTTCAGTGTTTTTCACCCAGAGGTCCCATTGCTGAATGTCTGGGGACATTTTTGGTTGTCTCAAATGGAAAGGTGCTGTTAGCATCAAGTGAGCAGAAGCCAGGCAGGCTGCTAAAGATCCTTCGATGCACAGGACAGTCCCTGCAGCAAAGAATTATCCAGCTCAAAATGTCCATAGTTTAAAAATCCTTTGTCTTTAATGATACCACCTATTTGAGTTTAAATCATGAGCCTTGTCTGTGGCTCATTCTCTCACCGAGGAATTTCAATGACTGTCTCTAAAGAATACTCTACTTGGCAGATTTATCAGAAACTAAGTCTCAGAAATCCCTTTGACAAGCTTCATTCAAAGACATATTTTTTAGGGTCTAGAAAATAAAAACCAAAGAATCATTAACACCTACCTTTCTCAGCTTGAACTTAACACTCATTCATGTGTAGTTCCCTTGAAACTTAAGTATTGCAATAGAAACTCCAATCTTGTCGGTTAAATGAGTAAGAACAGCTTCCTTCTACAAAAAAAGTGCCCTTTGGAGTCTTTAAGGAACTGGATCTTTTACATCAAGCAGGCATTAAGAGCACGGGCTTTGCAGTAAGACATCCCCGAGGTCAGTTTCTGGGTCTCACTAGCTGTGTGCCTTTTGGGTAACTTACTTAGCCTTACCAAGCCTCAACTTCCCCCTCTATAAAAACGAAGATTAAAAACGGGATGTAGCTCTTTGGATTAGCAGGACTAAATGAGGTAATGCGTAAACCATAGTAATGGTTGGCACATAGAAACGACTGCACAAATGTCCCTCCTTGATGTTGTCATCTCCATCGGCAGCGGTGGTAACGCGCAAAGCCAGCGCACATCTTTGCCTAATGCTAAGGCAGGCTCTGCCCATGGAGAGAAGAAAAGTAGTGACACGTTCCACATGGACAGGAGTTTGAAAAGCCAGAGATGGAAACGGTCAGAGGATGTCATCGCAAGGACCAAAGAGCCCAGGTGTGCCGCAGGATCCCTAAAGAAAGTCTGTCTGAAAGACGAGCAAGTTCCCCATGGGACGAAGTCTCCAAGGTAGCGGTTCAGAAGAGGCAGCCCAGATCTACTGATCCAGGCAGCCCAGCTTGAACTGGGATCTAAGGAGGAGAAAGAGATAGGAGTCTATGCTCAGGCACTACGCAGGGAGACATCATTGCTTCCTCCAGGAGCATCCTTGACTCACCAACTCTGTAGCTTCATCAGCACTGGGATGACTTTTCTTTGGAGGGGAACTTTCAGAACTTAAACCTGGGTTATGATGACTCTAATCTATGCATCTGCATGTTTGCTTCGTAGGCATTTAGCAGCCCCACAATCTGCGGGCTAACTTCTTTTTATAGGAATAGATACTGTTCTGTCTTTTAACATGTGTTTCTGAACCAGGGGTGTGCATCAGAATTACTTAGGTATTTTTTAATCCATAGTTTAGTCATACTTTTTAAGTTTTTAACCTAATGTCCTTTTCCTGTTCCGGGTTCCTATCTATACTAACTCGTTATATTGAGTTGTGTATCACAATAGGTTCTTCTTTGATAACCTTCGCCATTTTGAGGACTTGTGGTCAGATATGTCGCAAGTACCCCTCTGTTGATAAATTGTTGGTTGTTTCCATCATAATTAGTTTGGGGTTTGGGGTTATGTGTGTTTTTTTTTTTATTTTGAAAATATATTCATCCCAGCTGTATGCCACAGATTCTGAGTTAGTAGATCTAAGATAGAGCTCAAGCTTCTGTATTTTTAAAACAAGTCCAAGGGTTTAATCCAATCAAGAACTGTTGATTTAGAGCAGTGTTTCTCCACTGTGGGTGATTTTTGTCTCCTCAGAGTTTATATGGAAATGTCTGGAGACATTTTTGACAGTCTCGACTCAGGGAGGGTGGGGAGGGGCGCTACTAACATCTGATGGATAGATGGTAAACATTACCGTGCACGTGACAGCCCCCCCAACAAAGAATTATCTGGCCCAAATTGTCAACAGTGGTAAGGATGATAAAGCCTGATTTAGGGGCTAAAAGATACTGAAAGAGAGGGTGGGAGGGTATAGTTCAAGTGGTAGAGTGCATGCTTAGCATACACAAGGTCCTGGGTTCAACCCCCAGTACCTCCTCTAAAAATAAATAAAATAACTACCTCCCCACCTAAAAAAATTTTTTTTTAGTTCTACAAAAAAAAAAGATAACTGAAAAGATACTGAAAGACATGTTAAATTCTCTTATTTCTATTAATATCTTCCCTACGTTGTGGCTTCTAAAACAACTTAATAATCTTGTTATTTTTTTATCTATAGCAACCATATGAGGAGACAGATGTTACTGTTACTTTCATTTTTAAGACAGGCACCGAAGGTCCTAAAAGAGCTTGCCCAGGACCCCAAAGGGACCCCATCTCTTGAAACTATGGTTTTTCCATCCCCGCCCCCAAGAGCAGTGGTGGTACCTACCTTATTTCCCATTGCATCCGCCGTGTTCTGGCTTGTGTAAACCCTCAGTAGCTTTGTGTTAAGTAGGCATTGATGAATCCCCAGCCCATCTTGTGGACCACGTCAAGGATTTTGTCTGTTTCCAATTCTAACCCAAAGATAGTCATTAAATCCTTTAAGTATCTCACTATGGGTTTTTGCGATTGTCACTTGATTTTTTTTTTTTCAGAAGCCTTGAACATGCAGTGTTCTGGTAAATTTCATGGGGAATGAATTGTTTTGGCCCATTTGATTTTTTTTTTTGGTTAATCTGAAGATGAATTGGAAAATCTTTTCTCTTTCAACCCCTGCTGTTGGAATAGTTTCTAAAATGTCTGAGTTCTATTTTTTGCCTTAACTGAGCATTTGAAACAGAATCTGATTCTCTGGGGCAAGATCTTTCAGGGCGCTGGCTTTACCATGCTGAACCCCAAGTGACACTGTCCAGTCATGAAGAGGTAAAAGGAGTGACTTTTCTGGGATTGCACTATTCATAACTTCCCTGGACTCCAAACACAGTGCTCCTCGCCCACCCTGTGCCTTAGGAAGATGAGGCTGAGATGTTTATTAGCCCAAAACGCATTCTGAAAGCTACTCTTTGATTCAGTCCCAAAGAGGACTTTTAGAGGGAGGGAAAAGGACAGCTTTCTCCTAAAAGGCAAGGACCAACAGGGCGAAAGATTCCCATTGATTGAGGGGTTTGATAAATGGCTGTTTAATAATAATGATACAATTTATTTAGACTTTCTTTTATGTATGTTTCCTGACGGTACATTGGCAATAACCACATCACCTTGTGAAAGATGTTATTTCTTTGAAGTGCCTAATGACCCCATTTTACAGGTATGGAGACTGATAAGAGCCAATACTGATGGGGCACACTCTGTGTCCCAGGTACCGTTGTTGGCACTTAAATGTAATCATTCGTATAACTTCCATAACTTCCTTGCGAGGTAGGTTCTTACAGATAAAGATGTTGAGTCACTGAGAGGTAAATAGAGTTCTCTAAATTCGGAAGCCTGGGAAGTGATCAATCCTGGATTGAACTCCTTTCCTTCTGATGCAGAGTAGACACCTAAGCGTAATGTCTTTGGGGGAAAAAAAAAGTCAACCCTAGTCAAAGATGAGCCCCCAAACTCCCACTCCACGGAGAGCTCTGCACACCCACCATCACCCACCGGGGGCGGTCCTGGAACAGAGTCTCTGTCTCCTGTGTGGCACCGCCACAGTATTCAAGACAGAAACTGCAGTTATGGACCCCTGATGGGAAGTGGTTTATTTAGTTATGGTCTGTCCACTAACAATGATGGGAGTTGCCTATCTGATCAGGCAGACCCTTAATGAAGCTTCAACCCTGCGTCCTCCTCAATGTGAGGACATCGTCACTGGGCTAGGGCCCCACCAACCCCAGCAGATCCTAGACCTAGAGGTGGGAGACCCCAGGAAGCGCTACTGTGCCCACGCGAGGGTGAAACCCCATCCTCAGCGGAGAGGGCCCATAGCACGGTGGGGAAGCTTGCACACCATATGTGCTGCAGAAACCGCTGCTCCCTATGCCCAGCCGAGGGGCGGGCTTCAGCTTTCCGTCTATAGCTCCCTCTGCGTTCCGTCTAAGATCTTTTATCCCCCAAGAATACAGTTTTGTGGTTTATTTGGGGCGAGGGGGAATGATGGTAACACGATACCACTCCATCCCAGACAGTTGATAAATGGTTTAGGGTGGCAGCTTAAGTTCCTTAAGCAAATCTTGACACAGTGGTAGAATTCAACAACAATGCCCAGGATTTTCCTGTGAGGCCCCGTGGACTCGTAGCTCCGTTTTCAATGGCACTGGGAGGTTCCACAGGTCAGCAGTGCTTCACAGGAGGGGAAAAGTAATCCAGAATTACAGAATAACGCGGTCATACAATCCATGCATAATACAAATGCAGTTGCAACTAAATCATTACGTGGTCATTATCCAATCATGCCTCCGATGTCAGCGATGTGAAAATTTATGATCGGGTTTCACCAAAGTCCTTCCTTGACTTTTTTTCAGCCAAAGCTGACAATAAACAATGTGACAAGGTGATGAAGGAAAAAGGAGGGAGGGAGGGAGGGAGGGAGGGAGGAAGGAAGGAAGGAAGGAAGGAAGGAAGGAAGGAAG